AATGCAAAAAAAGTCTGCCATGCTATCGTCAGTTTTTCGCTGCAGAGTGCAGCGAATGTGCTGAACCGGTGGTTTTACTTGCAGGACCTCTCACAAAGCGCAGCCTCTCCAAACCACACAGGCCATTGGAGCTATAATTTACTTAGTGCAGTCATTGCCGAAGTTTACCCTCCCATCCCCTGACCAGCCACAGCATAAGAACCCAATTGTTCTCGTGGTCTGCAGCGACAATGGCTATTTGTGGTCATCCGGAGAAAAAGAAAAGTGAGAAAGAGAAAGGGATTCAAGAGGGGAGAAAGCAGAACCGTGCGATCGAGTAATTTGTACCGTTCACTGCTAAAGATACAGTCAGGGTCAAGCTCAGAGAGAGAGAAGGGTCAGGGTGACTGCCGAGCCCGGCTGGGATCGCCTCAAGGACACGATTTTCCCAACCAACTCCCGTGCTTTAACCCATCCAAGCCCCCTAGAACAGTTAGAACTGTGTGAGCGACTTTAGCAGCAAGCCTACCAGCCTCCTCTGCCCCCCACCTGTGCCCTTTCAGGCCAATTGTGCTGGCACGGCAGAGGGAGAAATTGAATGAATTAGGCAGTTGGATGTTGCCTAATGGTCGTACTGCACAAATGCAGCCATTCCTGGCATTGTTATGTGTTCGAGTGAGACTGAGAGGGATTGTGCTCCTCGGTCCAGTGCAGGAAAAGCAGCTAATAAGTGACACAATCTGTGGGAATCAGCTCAAACCAAAAAAAGAGGACTGAGGCAGATCTTTTCTCCGTTTTTGGAGACGTTATTGATGAGGAGGGAAGGTACAGCTGTGGATTTAAAGCGACATCATGTGAAAGTTTTAGTGCCTCCTGGTTTTAGAAGCGACTGCTTGAAAGCCAAATAAAAAGATCCCATCCTCTCCTCATAAAGTAGCACCGGCTACTGGAGTGTGGCCCCTGCCCCCTGACACAGGCCACATGCCCAATGTGAACACAGTGCCGCTTTTCAACACTCAGGCCTAGAGTTACACACGGCAGCTGCGGCGCACTGCTGTCCTGCTCTCTCTCTCGGGGAACTGACTATGACCTGAGCTTGAGGACACCCTCGGCCCTCTTGGTAATCATTGACCTGTTACCTGTGGCAACTAAGCCACAACGAACCGTACGACCACAGGACTGCTGATAGCGAGGCGATAACGTCGGCGTGTGGATAACAGCGCAGGCATGCGTGCTCACGCTTTTTTTTCTAAAGGAGTTAGATTACGTATTTATATATATTGGGCTGAATTATCAGCGTCACGGTTATCCCTGTAAGCCCCAGAAAATCCCTAACTCCTGTTCATTATCTCCTTAAACAGGGCGTTACTGTAAAAACAAGTATGCTCATCCAAGCTTTACTGCATACACAAAACTTTATACTTTGTGAATACCAAGCACAAAGGCAGCGGAGACTTTTTGACCCTTGATTCTGACTCCAATCTTTGAACTTGTGCCAACTGCCGATCGGACACCAGCTTCCCTGCCAAATTAAAATCTGTCGCACTCAAAGAGTTAAAGTATTCAAAGAGTTGGGTTGCTGTGGCACTAAAGTCTGCCACCAGAGTGACTCAATTTTCACTTTTACAACTGCACCATGAGATGATGTGCCGTGTATTACCCATTTGGTGCGCGTGCCGAAGTGAGCTGTTGAGGAGTTTATCAAACTTCTTACACTCGGCATGCTAATCTCAAAAGAGCTGTTTTGCTCCCGTGAGCTAAAAAAACTAGAGATGGTGAAGGGGAAGGAGGTCATGATTGGCGTGCCCCGGTTTGAGTGGTGTGATCGATCATGTCTCAAGTGTTTTTCGTGGTACTAGGTGGGGCGTGGCACTGCACTGCAGTAAGTTTGAGGGCGGGGGTGGGGGCCAGGCCAGGGGTACCATCCAAGGAGAGGAAGGAGCAGTGAGAGGAGGGAGAGACAGAGACAGACAGCAGTTTGGTCCTTGACAAAGCCTCCTCCCACTTTTTTTCCACACCTCCTCCAAACTTGCTCCTTCCTCCTCTTCCCTCTCTGTGGCTGCTGTCTTTGGGTACTCCATGCAGAATGGTCTGTGTCTGAGAGCAGTGGCCTGAAATAAAACTAAGAGGGGCCTTGGGCGGTGGAGAATGCTAGCTTTGTCTCAGCTGCCATCCACACTGTCTGGAGACATGGGCTCAAAGAGAGGGTCTGATTGCAAATTAGAAGTGCCGAATAGAGCACCCTGGCCAACTCCACTAGATTCAACACTGTTTACGCCATCTTGTCTCCTCGCCCGTCCTCCTCGGACACTTTGCAGGTTCGATTTTATGAAAAAGTCCCGTAAAAGAAGGTTAATGGCGGGACTCGGTGCTTTTCTCTCATCAATACTTTTCACGTAATTGATGCGAGTGAGTGTTCAAATTCAGTCAAATGAAACATTGATGAGTACTGAGTGCAAAAGTCAATTTGGGTGTAAAATTTTGGATGATAAGTGCCAAATACGACATCTGCAGCAAATCCACCAGTGACATTAACATCTCCTAATATTTGTTTTACCTGAAGCTCACTTTATTATTATTGGAGCATTTTTTTTCTTCCCAGGCAAAGGAAACGTGGGGATTTTATAGTTTCAGGTCCACTTTTGAGGGAAAACAGACAAAAAAGATCATTAATAATTTTATAATTTGAGCATGTTCATTTACAAAATTTAAGGAACTGTGAAAACATTTCTAAAGGTGATTACAAAGAAAAAAAAGTTCAAAAGTGCCTTATGAAAAATGCTTTTCTACAAAGAAAGGACATGGTGAAATAATAAAATACAGAATACTTACATTACACAATAACTTCACACTTCTGTGCTGACCACAATTACTAATATATTATATTACAATGAATATGTTTATTAACATCTAAGAAATTTAAATAACAGGGTTGTATGTGTGTGTGTGAGAACAAATATGAGCCTGAGCCCTACATAAGAATTTGATGTTTCTTCGCTTACATAAAATAATATATTAAGCAATTACTATCGCCTATGTGTGTTAATAAAATATTATCATCTCTATAATATATATATATATATATTAGTTATAAACATCACAACTGTAAGTAAAAACATTACCCTATTTTTTTTTAGAATTGGCTTTAGTTAATAAAAGTTTACACACAGCCTTTTTTCATGAACTATTGCAGCTTTAAATATGTGTGTGTTTGTCTTAATAATATGAACTCGTGTCACCTTCTAATCCCAGTAAGCTATAGCCTACATTCTCAGGCCATAGGCAGCTGAGCTGTAACATCTCTCTCTCTCACACACACACACACACTCCTAATCCTATAGTATGGCTGCATGCTCGTGAATATAGGTGTTCTGTACGCTTGTAAATACAGGTTTACGTGCACTCATTGCACACTCTGCTAGTTCACAGTGTGATGCTCCAGTGCTAATGTGCACAGAGCTTAGAAAAAAACAACTAACACAAGCAGTGGTTTGATCACAAACTGAGGGACAAACATGCTTCTGTTCAACTTCTGTTACTAGTGTTAAGTTTTTTCCCACAAAATAATCACACTGACATATTTCCACCTGTGTTTTTAATGTTTTTCTTCCTATTAATATTATTACCATGATTTTTAAGGGAGGATTTTAATTAATTAGCTCCCTTAATAATTGACTTTTTGGTCCCCCTTTATTAATTTACATTGAGCAGTTGATGGTGAGGGAATGTGTTATTACACATTCCAGAGGAATATTAAAAGTTAATTTTTTATCCTTGCCTTCAGAGAATCTCATTTCTCAGTAACATACCTGAGGAAAAGGTTAAATCTTACAGGGAAGCCACTTTTGTGTGTGTTTACATTATTAAAGAGTGACTGTGCAGAGCTCTGTGTAAGGAGTATAACGTTTAATGAACTTTCCATGTTATTATAAATAATTTTAGATTAAAAAAAAGATTTAGACCTAAAGATGCGCACTATTTATTTTTAGTCCAATCATAAAATTCCCCTACAAACTCTCTCGGAAAACATTTTTCCCCTAGTACACGGACTCTATTACAGTTTCATTTCCTTACATTAAACTAGTGTGACCCAGCATGAAAAATCAAATTATTAGCTATTAAAATATCTCCCACATCCCCTCGCTTTTGACACTTGGGGTTTTTTTTTAAATTTATTTATTTATTTTTAGCAACTTTTCAAAATGTCGGGGACGTGCTCCAGCAGCTCTGGTTTGACTCATCACCACAGCTGATTAATCAATAAAGTGTCTGTGAGGCAAACTGGCTACCGCAACAAGTCCGGGCTTGTCTGCGAGTCACCTGTGGCGTCGAGTGAATAAGGAGGTCTTCATTAACTTGCAGAGAGGACAAAACTGAATGAAGCTCATTAACTGCAGGCAGGGAACAGGTGTGTGAAGTCCCGCTTTCGGGGAGTGTGTTTTAAAAGCTAGCAGATGAAGAAAATGAAGTAGCCTAGCTGTGGAGCTTAAGGTCTAAGCTAACATGAGAATTACATTTAAGTTAATGTGCTGTTAATAGAGCGCCGTTAGCCCGGACGGATGGTGACGCAGCACATTTAGCTTGTTTTGTGGCTATTTTTCTTTAGCTTCACACTTGCAGTTTGTTTTAAAAGCACACACTTTTATGAATAATACTTTACAGCAAAGCTACTTACCAGAGTAATTGTTAATTACAAAAGCAGGGGTGGTGCAAGTGGGGAAAAAGGCATGGTATGTGTGTAATAATTCAAGGTGGGGCATAAAACCTGTGTGCCATGGAAAATATGTGACTTTACAGTGACCTTGGTGGTTGTTTTATAGCATTTTTGTTTTTAATTCTTTAATATTCTTTTACTGCTGTAAATAATTTCGCGGCAGTAATTTGTGCTATTTTCAGCACCAGTAAAAGTTGACGGCGGAATTAAAATAGTCTTTTTCACGAGGCTGACAAAAGTTCACGCCAGCAAATAGTGCTTTTTAGGTCCGCGGAGGGGGCAGGAGGGGAGGGAGTGAGGCAGCCCTTAATAATCATCTGAACGCAGGCTCGTTTTTGCTGATATTTCAGAGTGGTGGCTTTTGTTTTCCCCCCCCTTTCCCTTCGTATTTTGGAGTCTTTAAATAAGCAGCACGGCAGAGCAGCCTGCACCGCACAGCGGTGTGGTTGTATAACTCGTGTTTCACCTCAGCTGAACTTGACGCATCTGGTTCACCGGCGGCGCGAGTCGCACGGCGCAGTCTGCTGTGTGTCCCCACTGAACCGAGCTGCATGGCCGGCCGAGAGAGACGCGGAGAAAGAAAGGGGGGAAACGCAACACTTTCGTGACATAGCAGCGGTTCTCGGAGACCGAGTCTCGGGATGACTCCTCCACATCTCAGTCTGCAAATATCGTCCCTTTCTTGCTTTTTTAATTTCCTGCTGTTTCGTGGCTCCAGACACAAAAAGGAAGACGAGTCACCGTGGGCTAAAGGAAATATAAAGCCGGCCGACTTGGACACGCCGGAGCAGACCATCCAACTTGAACTTGAGACGAATCGGTGCGTATTAAAATGCCGCTCTATACGTTTATTTTTAGTTTTAAATTTGCGCCAATTGCGTAAAATTACATCAAAGGTTTTGTTTTAAAAGCAAAAGCTATACAGCGTGTGTGAATTGTGGCGGTGCGTCTCCCCTCCACCAACACCCTCCCCAGACTGAGTCAGTGGATATTGACACTGTTATGACTGAAACAGTCCTTAGGGGAAGTTTCCAGCGTGCCCGAAACTGTTTAATAGCTTAAAAAAGTCTTTAAAATTGAGAACAAGTCGCAGACACCTTATAGTCTATACGCGGTGATGGAAATGGTCGCCAGGCTGTAAATTCTCCGTCGCAATACGAGAAAAGAGGTCGCCTTCCCGTGCCCTAGTTTCTGCTAGCTGAGAGGCATAATCTTCCCCCCTTTGTTGTCCCCGATGCAAACACAGATAGGCGGATCGCGTCAATCCAGCGGAAAACATCACCGCTCTCCAAGTTTGAAGGATTTGATGGGGGGGAAAGGAAAAATGTGCGTTTAATTAGTAAAAACTGCGTCTCCCGGAGCTGTGCGCCCCGAGATGATGAGCGTATGTAAGACCCGAGAACATATGGTAGAACGGTGCGGTTTCCCCCTGATGTGTCACTGTGGTTTCCCCTCAAGAGAAGTTTTTTGATGAAATTAATTCATTGAAATCCGAGAGCAGCTAACTCAGCAGTAGCTGAATGTATTTTTAATGCTCTAAAGGCCCGTTTGGTGCTTACTGGCTGTGTCTCAGGTGTACACTGAGCTTCTCTAAAAAGACACATGCTTAAAATCCCCCTGAGATATTAGATTTGTGATGCGTTTGATGTTGATTTGTTTGATGTTACACGTGGATGTGGGCAGTAATAACAGGTGCTTTACACTGGCCAGGTAGCAGCACACAAAGTTCTTTTTACAGCCTCGTTCTTTGATTGTTTTTGGCTGAAGATAATCACACAGATTCCTGCTAAATAATAAATAAAGTGGGGAAATCATCGTCCTCTTCTAAAAGCAACTAAAGCAAAAATGCAGCCAGCACATAAAGTCATAAAAGCATGGTTGCTTTGTAATTTGCACTGGGTGTAAATTTATTAAATTTGACTCTATTGATTTAAAGCACAAGTCTCCTTTTTTGTTAGCTTCATACTCAAATTTACTGCTGTCAGTTTATCTTGGATACATCACTTAGGCCACACTTCACCGGCACGGAAACGCATCGCAGGTTAAAGGTTAAAAAGTGGCCCACGCACACCTTAGAGAATTGCCTCTCCTTTCCAGTTCATCTCTGCTCATCTGGCTACATTTTTTTCTTTTTTGCTTTGTGAGTGTATGTGTGCCTGTGTGCTCTCAAGGCTTTGTGTGCAGCCTGGTTGGCCGGTCGGGTAAGATTCTGTTCATTCTGGAGTGTCGGTCAAATTTGCAAAGAAGCAGCAGCGTTTCCCAGGAAAAGATCTGTGTTAGCTGACAAAACACGGCGTGTTGTGCTATTGCCACATTCTCACCATGAAAGAGGAACACAACTGTCAGGAGCCAAAAATTTGAGCGGGGTCAGAACGACCTCTTGGCTGCAAAAACACAATTTTTTTCCCCTCTGTGTCTTATGAGATTTATGTTTATAAGGCACAATCATGGTTATAAACAGGAAAATGTGCCTTTGAGAGAATGCAGCAGAAACACAGGTGGCCTTTAGACAATGGGCCGGGGTTCATTTCTCTACAGTGAGGCAGTGGGACAGAAGAAAGGACATGGCTGTGGAGTGAAAATTGACGTGATTATTTTCAGATTCAGCCCGCCACCCTGTAGCTCTGAGCTCCGTTGTGGGCCATACTGGCAGTGGCCAATATGGTAGGAAAGAAGAAGGCTTGGATTCAGCAAAAAAAAAAAAAATTCCTCTCATTTGCTTTCAGAGCAGCTTCATCCTCCCTCCCACACTCCCTGCCACACTCTCATATCTCACGCAATTGATTGAAACCCTAAACGGCAAGATCAGGACGGAGCGCAATCCAGCCTTTCTATGAATAGTTGATTGGACGTGATGGCGATGTGGTGTGTTGTTACTTTAAGGCCATTTCAGGTCAGAGGGCGGGGGGCGGTGGGGTTTGGCGAGGGGGATTTTCGGCGTGCACGGCCGATGCTGCAGTGTGGCGTCTTGTGCTCGCCCACCCCATCTTTAGCTGTTTCGTATAGGCGCGCAGAGTCCTGTCGCTCCCTAATCAGGTCATCTGGCGTTTTGAGAACTCACACATACTCCTTTAGCTTTTTGCCTGAGAAGGGCTTTAAAATGTGTTTGTTTTTTTCTCCTTACCCCCTTTTTAATTCGTCATTTATTTTATCGTGTGTGACAAAGCCACCTTGTCATGTTCTAATCTGCACAGATGGATGGTGTGTTAACAGTAGGTGGGTGTCTGTCACTGATTATTTAAGTTTTCTCTGGTATTAATAATGTGGAAAACCATGAGATGTAAAGTGTGTCACTAGTGTGTGTATATCCCGAGTGCAACAGGCATTTGTTTGCATGTGTGTTTGTTGCTCTGCTGTGCTTTTGCTGTCCCCACCAAACACTTCACATTTGAAGTCTCTGTGCATCTCAGCACAGGGCATTTAAGTGCTTGACCTAATTTCTCTGGCAGCGAAGAATCCACTAGTGAAGGCCTTCTTCTGTGTGTGTTTGTGTGTGTGTATGTGCGCACGCGCGTGTTGCTCTGGGTGTTTCCTCCTTGCCTTTCTAACAGGAAGCTGATGTGGAGTTCAACTGAGGACAGGGAAAAGGCCTTTTCTTTCCACTGTGAATCATTTGAGAGAGAGAGAGAGAGAGAGAAAAAAATGAAAAAAGAGTGGAGAGGGAAAAAAAGAGACCAGGCTGCTGCATTGATTCAGCCCTCTGCAATCTGGCCTGCCTCTCTTTCTGTCCCTCTCTCTTTTCACTCTCTGTACCTTAGTGTCTATTTAAGTTTTTTTTGTGTGTGTGTGGAGTTTTTCTGATTCCAGATGAACAGCAGTGTTCTGGAGGGACTCAGGGGTTTATGGAGAGTTCACAAGTCCTGTGAGAAGACTGGGTGAGGGGGTTGCTTTGTGGGTAGGAGTGCATATTCTTCCGGTTCAGTTATAAACTAAGTGCAGCAAAAAGGGGAGGTCCATTAAATACTTGGAAAGCATTTAAAGTATTTTTAAGTATTTACCATACACACACAAACTGGGTTTATCAAGGCCAGTGTCGAGACACTACAAAGCATTTGCCCTTTGTATTGCTGAAAGCTAAAAAGTAAAGAACAAAAGATAAAAGTAGCCAATGAATCTTCTGAGTGATCTGCGGAGTGATAAATGGTACTGTACCACAGAAAAAGAATGACTGGAAGCCGGCGTTATAGATCAACTCGTTGGCATCCCAAAAATGTAATAATTTTGTGGAATAAACGTGAGATTGATTCATTTGGTTTGAAGGTCACTGAGTTTAAATTTGTTCTTAGACATATTTCACGTGTGATGACACTTATTCCAAGAACTACATGCAGACCAAGGCAAATGCTAGAAATGTTGAAACAGCATGACCTAATCTCATCTTCAAGGTTTCATGTACATATTTTAGTGTGGAGGGGTGGGGGTGGTAGGAATTAAATAAGGCCAGATACTCTAACTAACACCTAAAAACACCTACTCAGCCTCTTTCATGTTTTTTTTCCAATACCTTTTGAACTATCTACAGACTATTCTAGAAACATCGTCACACACCCAGCAGCTGCCGAGAGACAGAAATATTCCAGAATACCTGTTTCGTATGGACTGTATCGGTCCTTCCCATACGGAAAAGAAATAGTAAAAACTTATATGTGATTACTCATGAAAGTGGCCACTTTCGCATTACTTTCATACATTGTTTTAGTAAGTATCCAAAACATACAAGTTTCATTATATAATTTTTCAAGGGATCTTATATCTGTTTTCACACTCATATGCTTTTCATACAAGTTTCACACAAGACAGACACAAACTTTATAAGATTTATATATATCTTTTCCATATGGGTTACGAAACATTCTATTCATTAATGAATAGTCTAGTCTGCTCAAGGAGTAGTCAAGGAACCATTTTTTCCTTGTGTTTTAATATCTTGTTTGTGTGACTACAGCAGAGGGGTTTGACTTGCTCAGTAAGCAAGCCTTGGCCGGGTGTCTTTAACCCTTAATTGGACTTTGCAGCATTAGCCCTGAGGCTGTAACTTCGTGGACAGAAAAAAAACAGCTGAAGTCTTGAAAAAATATGTTGAGTCAGCAATTTATTATTGTTGTTGTTATTATTATTATTATTATTATTATTGGTTAGTACATAGTCTATATAGAAAGTGGTCTTCTCAAAATGTTGAGTGCAAATTATATAATTTCAATATGAGGTATGCTTGATTTTGTACACTCCGAGTCATTTACAATCAAGTCTATTTATGTAAAAAATAAAACTTTTTTTGATAATGCATTATTTATTGTCTGTCTATAGAATGCTAGCAGGATTAGCCTTAGCACTGAAAGCTGGACAGACACTGTTGCCCCCTTTTTTTTTTAAACTTTCACATTATGTTAACTGACATTAGAGGTCGATATTTCATTTTAATCACCAATCCTGTTTGATGAAACACATGAGCCACCATTGAGAGCTAATACTAAATGTAAATGCCACCATACCTTGGTCACAATTCCAGTAAATCTTTTACAAACAAGCAGGCTATGCCCTCAGTGGTAAAGAGAGAGAGAGGAAGACTTACATTGTGCAGGTTTTTATAGCTGACGTGGTATAAGGAAGAAATAAAGGAACGCGGAGCACTTCAGGACACGCTATCATTGTAGTAGCATGCTGTAATGTAGATAACAGTAGGAAAACTGTTAAACTAACAGTAACTTGGTGGCAGCCCTGTTTTATTGTTAATGTACATGCAACTCTTTTACAGTGCAGAAACAGTAAACGTAACAAGGCTTCTTGCCACACTTAATTTCCACAAGTATCCAAGGGTCTGCTTGGGTCCCACTGTAAACTTCATAATCAGACAGTGAGCGTGAGGCTCCAGTTACACTTTAAAGAAGTATAACAGGAATGACTCCTTGTTTGTGGTGCGTTCAGTGTCCCTAACCCAACAGCAGGCATCAGGTGATGCTGAGGTCAGGGGAAAAGACTGAATGAGGGTGGGGTTGTGGGATAGATCACTTCTAAGCTGCAGCAGTGTCTGGCGATGCAAGAAAAGGAGACCCTTAGCTCTGATGTGCTTGTGCTATAGATGCTAAAGAGTGTCCTCCTCCTATAGCAAGGTGTTGTGCATATTGCACCTTTTTAAATAAAATTATATATAAGTTTGCTCTGTAAAGTT